TTAGTTAAAACTGGTACTTGACGCCTTGTTTTCATTTCACTAAATCTTTAGAGCTAAGATAAATGTAAAACAAGGCTTTTCTTCTTTTTTTCATTTTGCGTTTCAATGACGACTAAAAGCAGGGTTTACTTCAGTGTTTTAATATCTTTCTGAACCTTCTGATCATTGATTTCAGCATTTTCAATGTCGAAAACTGTATTCAACCTTGTCTTCAATAATTACTAGTAGTATTCTTTTAGGATGGTATATCTGGACAACATTTCTAAGCTGGTTTAAATGTTTATGTTATCTTTTTATCATTTTTTGTTGTAAAACAATTGAGTCATATTCCAGGACATTGGCACAGCTCAGTTATTTTTAGATTATGAGCATACCTCATTCCAAATTTGGTGAGGTCGCGCAGCCAAAGGTCGCGCGACACTAACTGTCTGGAGAGATTATATTTCTGTTGTTAAATGAATTATCAGTCAGTATTATAAGTTTATAGAATTGTTTATCAGTAGTAAGTGTATTGGTCTTATAAGCCATATATAGTACATATATCTTTATTAATGCAAATAATTTTGCACTATTAAGTTGCATTATTGAACATTAGCAGTTACTGTGATGTGTATTTGAATTCGCGGAAGCGAATTTTCGCGGAAAGGTCCATTTTGAGGGTCTATACAAATATTCGCGCTATTTTGAATTCGCGGAGGTGACTGCCGAAAAATCATAATTTCGCGAAGACCACCGCTAAGGTTAAAAAATAATATTATTACTGTAATCATCGTTTGAGTTCACAGTTATTTTCAATACCTGGTGTCAAATAATACGCTATAGTAAAGAACAAAGACATAATCTGGCAAACATATTATGGCAAACAAAAGAATGCCCGTTAACGTGCATGCTTTTTCACAGTTTGCGTCATAAACGTCTTAACTTCTGATCAGATCATATTTTTTTAAAACAAACAATACAAACAACACAAACATAAACAATTTCAACTAATGAAAAACTTTGAAAACAAAACACAATTACTCGGTTCTATACTACATTGTTCTATAGAAGCGCGAAAATATCACAATTAAATAATAATTGGTGTAGAAATATTCGCGCTAAACCTGAATTCGCGAATCGAATGTCACCGCGAAGATGGCGAAAATTCGAAGCCCGCGAATATTTCTACACATACAGTTTGCTATTGAGTGTTAACATGTACATCTATATAACTATTGTGTACTTATGTTTGTATTGTAAAACAGTCTGTATACCTGAACCAGTTGCAGGCCATTTTGAACATTGTTAAGGCATTGTCAGCACTTTTAATAGGTCGCGCAAATTTCAGGTCGCGCAATGAGTTGTGTGTCAAACTGGTTAGCGCAAGTGGGTCGCGCGACAGTCTACTTTTGAACACCACCCTAGCTGCGCAAACAAAATGGTATATAAGCTGGGAAGTTTTCTATTTGAGGGAGTTGAGTTGGTTAGTTTTGGAGTTATTTTTTGATAGTTAATTGAAGAAATGTATTTGTTAAAGTTGTTCAGAATTTTACTTTGGTTTTCACTGTTAATAGAAAATAAAATGATGCATTATTTTGGTTTACTGACATAAATATAATCCTGGTTTCACTTGGGACTTGACTTATTCATTGTACCAGCATAGAAAAATGGTTTACTTTTTAAGCGAAAAGAGTGAATAACAAAATCTACACAAAAGAGAATTTTCGCAACAATATTCATTTTGTTTTGTTGTGATTTATGCCTCCGAGTTTTACTATAAACACATCTATTGACAATTTATGAACAGAACAGAACAGAACAGAATTTTATTTACAGACTTATACATAGGTACATCGTCTTGTTTAACAAAAGATTTGATTAAACATAGTCACATGGCATACGAAAACATACAAATTATAAACATTCTTAAATAAATAAACAATGATTAAAGAGGACAAACTTTATGCAAGATGATAATTACAAATCAGTTTTGTTAAGAGTTAATGATTGCGTTTCTCAACGATAAAGATTCATGGATATATTTAGATAACTTAATTAAAATACTTTTATTTTGCGTTGAAAGTAGATCTATAAATTTAAACACAGATGGTCTAACATAATAACATTTTTTAAGATACTGCATTCGAAAACTATTAAAACAAGGGCATACACATATAAAATGGTATTCATCTTCTATGTCAAATGTATTACAACATAAACAATATCGTTGATCACGAGGTGTATTATTCCTATTGTATCTCCCAGTCGTACAGATAATCTTAATCTACAAAAATAATATCTATATTTACGAGGCAGAATATCAAGATAACTTTTCAATAACCAAAATTAAGCTTAAAATTCTTGTAATTAAACAAAACTGGGCTAACGTTCTAACGTAGCTGTCCATTCTTGAATAAAAGTGTCTATAACTCTGCGTTTAAAAAATGATAGGGAACACTTTTGCATCAACGCAATTTTCATTAAAAATTTCAGCAAAACCATAATTACAGAGTAGTTTTTTTAACATTTGAAACCCAATTGCGGTGTCCTTTATTACAATCCAATAAACCATCTTCATACATAGTTTTTAAAACAATATTATCAGTGTTTTTCAACTTACACCAAAAAACTTGACAATTCTAACGTAACGAGTCACATACAGCGGATAACGCCCCAACTCACCATAAACTGCAGCGGAACAAGTATTTGCTCTAACATTAAGCAAACGTTTACAAAATTTTAAGTGGATTCTTTCCAATTCTTTAGATTTCGTGTATCCCCAATTTCAGACCCGTATCCTAAATAGACCCAATGAAAGCATCAAATAATTGACATAAATATTTTAGGTTTGAGATCAAACTTTTTTACAATTATAAAACAAAACATTAAGAGCTTTTAAAGCTTTCCCTACCAAGTGTTCTTGGTTAAGCGAAAAATTACCTGTATAATTAAAAACAGTACCTAAATAATTAAAATCATTCACAACTTCTAAAATTTGGCCATCATAGGTCAGTTCTCATTTTGTAATAACCCCCTCGTTTTCGAAAAAACCATTACTTTTGTTTTGCTTGTATTTACTTTTAATCCCCATGTAGAGCAATATGAATGTAAAAGATCCAAATGGTTTTGCAGTTCCAATGGTGACTTGCCTAAGATGGCCATATCGTCAGCAAATAACAATAAAATCAAAATAACATCATCAAATGACAGTCCTGATTCTTGACCAGTTTGCAAAATATAGCTCTAAATCCTCTACAAAGAGAGAGAATAAAATTGGTGAAATTACCTCCCCTTGACGTAATCCATAGCATAATAAAAATAATCAGAATAATTCGAACAAGATTTGACACAAGATTTAACTTTTTTGATACATGTCTCTTATAATTCGCAGCAATTTACCTTTTATTCCTAATTTATACATTTTCAGCCATAATGCATTTCTATATATACTGTCAAAACATTTCATCATATCGACAAAAAACAACATATAAACGTTTATTTTCATTAACAAATTTTTGAATTAATGACATAAGAACAAAAATTGCATCGGTAGTAGAACGCCCTTTACGGAAACCAAATTGTGCATCTGATATGATATTGTTACTTTCACAAAAAGGATTCTATTCTAACATTAAGTACAGTGGTAAATAATTTTGACAAACAACTAACTAATGTTATGCCTCTATAGTTATTGACGTCAATCAGTACGCCCCTTCTTATGAAGAGGGATAATAATTCCCTCTGTCCATTGTTCTGGATAAAAACCAGAGTTTAACACAACATTAAATATATCACATATATGGGCACCTAAAATATCGATGCTTTCTATGAAGTATTCATTCATTAAACAATCGCTACCTAATGATTTTCCACGTTTTAACATTTTTACGGCATTTTGAACTTCATTTAAAGTAATTGGTTTATCTAACTCATCATACTCAGTATTTATCTCATTAAAAGAATAATCTTCACAAAAATTTATGAAGTACTTTCCATTTCCATTTTCTTTCGAATAAAAATAAATGCTTTATTTTAAAATGATTTTTAACATGTCTTACAGATTAAATGGCCGTGTATAAACGGCCGTTTACAACATACAACAGCTGCTAAGCCATAAAACCTGTCATGTTTTTTGTACAACTAAATATATACTAGTACATGCATTTTACCCAATGTTAAATGTTAGATAAGAACAATTGAATGCATTATTTTCAAATGGTTCAACAAACACATTTCAGATACGTTAAAATCTTAGACAATAATATGATCAGCTATAACATAATAGCTTTACATCTTCAAATATTGTTTAAAAATAAAGAAGTCATATGCTATATTCATAATAAATCACGGTATGGAATGACTTATTTGGGAAACTCTAGACTTGTTTATAGTCAATAGTGGAAATCTTTCATAATTGTCAAGTCGTTTTTGTCCTCTTACCATGTCAAACTGATTGTGACAAAAGAAAAGATAAAAAACCAAAACAAACCCCAAAAAACAAAAAAAAAAAAAAAACACACACACACAAGCAAAAAAACAACAAAACACACACACACACACGCACACACACACACACAACACACACACACACACACACACACACACACACACACACACACACACACACACACACACACACACACACACACACACGCGCACACGCGCACACGCGCACACACACACACACACACACACACACATACGCGAAAAAAACAACAACAACGTTTTAGTAACAGGTGAATTTCAAAATTAAGATCAGATGAACTGGAAGTGATAAGTAAAATTCCTGCCAATCTATCTTACGTAAAATAAGAACAGAGATAACCTTATTAAAAATAGAAAAGGCATCTAGAATATTTAAAAAATAGATATGTCGCAATTAAAGTAGGCCAAACCAAAAACAAATGTACCACGTGATAGATACACGATCGATCAAACCAATAGAATTATTGCACGTCTCGATAAAAGTCCCTTGATACAAATGCCAAATACCATTTAGATAGGAGAGTCATCTAAGTTGACTGGTTAATGTTTCTCCAACATGACTTCGACAAAATCGTTGGTGGAACATTGCATAATTGTCGATGGAGCACCAAAAACGTTAAACAAAAGTCAGCTGTTGGAATTAATACAAAGGCATGAATCAACAACAAACATTTTGAAACACCATTTTCAGGAAGTTAAACAAGTGAATCAATGGGTTCTTTGGCTTAACTTGTCAAAAAGTAAGTTGTGTAATTTCATTATTTTATTTCATGGACTGAACATTGTATTAGAAATTAAATTTATTTCCACAGAGAAACATAGATAAAAATTATTTATTGTGCACAACCAGCCCCATTGATCATGACTGTTGACAATTAATATCGCAGTATAAAACGATGAGAAAAGACAATTTGATACTCATAATATTGTGTTAAAATAATTCTTTTTGAAAAAATAATTTTACTGACGCAATGCAATATGCAATATCGATCTAGTTTGTTTAAGACAAACTGTTACTCTAAAACTTACTAACAAAGATTCAAAAATAGTTTCTGTCTTGGCCATTAATTTAATAAGAGTTTGCATTTGTTTATTTTGTATTTCTTTTAAGTCACATTGCATTGTAAAGATCGTTAAACGAAACGCTCAGTTACGGCAAGCTTTTCTGTTAATTTGTATATTCAGGTTATATCTTTACCTTTTAAACGTTAAAAACAAAGATGCATCCATTTTGGTTTGCTAATGAAATCTTGTTAAACAAATTTTTGTTATATCGATAGCTTAAATGATTCGAATAAAATGTTTCATTTTTAGGCTCCGAATTTTTTAACAAAAATAAATGTTTTTATTCAAACAAAAAAATACACATGCTACACTACATATTTTCAATTTTGTGGTATGGCAAGGACACGTTTTTAATGGTCCTCGACCTCATTCATGTGGTTTCGAGTATATTGTCATGTTCTATGCTTAAATGCTGGGATAGGTATGGAATCTACAGTAGCCAAAATATGCCATCGTCGCATTTCCTTACAAGCGATATTTACGCAAAGAAATGATCAGCTGTGCACTGCTTTTCTTTAAAAAAGCCGAATAAAATTCTACCTAGACGAATGTCTGTAAATGTTGAAAATTAAAGGGGAAGCGTTACGACACGGACATTACGTTCTTACATAAGCTTATGTTTGTGAATGTTTTATGTACAGTCAAAGGACGAGATTATTCGCCACTTTCAAAATGGTGATTACGTTATCTTAAGCAAAAAAATGTAGATAGTCATTATAGTATCATAAGTAATCATCTTACCTCAATATTTTGTCAGATGTCTTTTCATTCTGTTTACCTTTTTAATTCTATATGAAACTATTCTACAAAGACCTTGAATACACTCTAAAGGTTTATTTTCCAATATATTTGAAATTTCGGCAATTAGCTGTTCGCGCGTATGTATGTAACGTAAGCGGTATACAATCGTCGTTTGATGTGTAACCAAATTTTTTCTATTATATCTAAGTCAGGAGAGTATGCCGGCCATGGTGTTGTAGTAACATCATTTTCTGTTGAATAATATTTTACTAAACCGGCTCTATAAACAGGGGCATTTTCACCCTGGAACATATAGTCATTATTTCCAAAATACCTTGCAATAACTGGCAAAATAATTGTATAACACATCTAAATGTTTCTGTTCATTTACATAGAGCAGCCATAGTTCCGATACCCCAAAAGCATACACATCCCAAGACCATAACACTAAGCATAGCCCTGGGAGCGGGAAAACCCAAGTGAGGCTTATATTTTTCTTCGTCTTTCCTCCAAATAAAAAATAATTATATTTCCCGATGACCACCTGACATTCTTCACAAAATATCTACTTACTCCATTATTCGTCCACAGTTCGATGTTTTCTTTCATTAAATCATTTAACACGTTTTTTTCGACTACACCCGCCAACAACCATCGTCTTCTGAATAGCCCTCTTTTTATACCCCAAACTCGTGATGTTTTCTTAAAATAGTATAATCACTAAAATCGATTCATACTTGTATTCATCATATCAGTAACATATCTCAAATGCCTTTTCCTGTAACATTTTATAATCCGAGAAAGTTTTGTTCTGTCTCGTTCCGTGAATAATTTTCCTACCCCTCTCACTATAATTACTGTACTTCCATACTAATGATAATTCTTTATTACACTTTTAATTGCTGATCTAGGAATACCTAGTAATATTGATAATTCTGACTGTTTTTATTCTCCTCATAACTATTATTATAAATTCTCGATCACCCTTACTCAATTCATTTCGTTGGGGCCATTTATAAAAACGTCATTTACTGGATTATTGTTTTTCTAACATAATACTAAATAGTCTGTTATGAGTCTGTTCTTAAATGCAGTAGAGCTGTGAAGTTCTATTGTTAATTTGAATTGTCATTTTTGTCTAAATGTTTTGTTGAGTTGAGATAACGTTTTGTAACATTTTTATATCAAAGTTTATGTAATCTAATGACGCATACGTACTTAATCAGTTAAAACAAAGTGCACAGATCACATTTCAATAGGATTTGTCCGCCATTTTGAAAAAAGGCCGAAGGATACAAGACACTTTAAATCGTGTTATTTATATTTTGGCGAATGTTAATTACAACCAATCATTGAATTATGAATATTAAAATATGGGACAAGTTATTAGACCTTTATTCTTGAGAATAAATGTGTATGGTTATGAATGACAAGTTTAACATTTGTAGTACCTTTTCGAGAAAAAAATTCGGGTAATTTGACCTAGTTTTCGGAGAAATTAGGCATTTTTAACTACAGTTAGCTCATTTAGAAATAAAACAATGGACAAGGAACAAAGTTTAACACCCCTGACAAGTTTTAAAGCATTTATTTTCATGAATTTAATATTTCTAGAACCTTGCAGGTTTTTTCAAAATGCCCTACGGAAGATGCAAAATGTTGTGATTTATCTCAATTTCACGCATATAGTCTAAGAAAAAGAATAATGTAAGAATATTTAAATACATGCACCGAAATAATTGTTCTATGCTGAAGATTTTTACCAATTTTCAAAGGGTTTTTTTTGTAAACAAAGTCACAGGCAAGTTTTAAAAACATGTATAAACCGTTTAAATATTACGCCCATATGATTAGTACGGACATAACTCTGACACAAGAAGAGGTTTCAATACGAAACATTGCAGGTAGATAGATCCCATAGGGAAGATGTGCAGTGTACAAGAACCGTAACTCTGCCTGTCTTATTTTGGAGATATTGCCCTGTGGTCACTTTTACATTTGAGCTTTGCCCGGGCCACAACTCTAAAACTATATGAGATATCAACATGAAACTTTGAAAGTAGATAGATCTCATTAGATAGATGTGCAATGCATAAGAATCGTAACTCTGCCTTGTTTAATTTTGGAGTAATTGCCCTTTGTTCAATTTTACACTTTGAACGTCGTCCGGGACAAAACTCTGAAACTATCAGATATATCAACATGACACTTTGTTGGTAGACAGACCGTATTAAGTAAAAGTGCTCTGCAAAAGAACCGTTACCCTGTCTTGCCTTATTTTGCAGTTATTGCCCTTTGATCATTTAAACACTTTGACTTTATCCGGAACATAACTCTAAAACTTTAACATATATCAACATGAAACTTTGTAGGTAGTTTGATCTCATTGAGTAGAAGCGCAGTGGAAAAGAACCGTAACCCTGCCTTGCCCTATTTTGAGTTATTTCCCTGTGTTAATGTTTTTAACATTGAACTTTGCCCGGGACATAGCTCTGAAGCAATAAGAGGTACCAACATGAAATTTTGTAGGTAGACAGACCTTATTTTGTAAAAGTGCACTGCAAAAGAACGGTACTCTGCCTTGCTTAATTTTGCAGTAACTGCCATTTGTTCAATTTTACACTTTGACTTCGTCCGGGACATAATTTTAAAACTATAACAGATATCAACATGACACTTTGTAGGTAGTTTGATAATATTAAGTAGAAACGCAATGCAAAAAAAACCCATAACTCTGCCTTGAAAATTTTTGGAGTTATTTCACTGTGTTATTTTTTAACATTAGACTTTGTCCGGGACATAGTTCTGAAGTAATAAGAGGTATCAACAATAAACTGTGTAGGCAAATAGATCTCATTAAATAGAAGTGCAGTGCAACAGGCCCGTACCTCTGCCTTGCCTAATTTTGAAGTTATTGCTCTTTGTTCATTTTAATACTTTGGACATTGTCAAGGACATAGCTCTGAAAGTATATTTAATATGAACTAGACACTTTGTAGGTAGTTTGATCGTGCAATGCAAACAAACCATTACTCTGCTTTTCCTAATTTTTGAGTTATTGCCCTCTGTTCATTTTTACACTTTGAACTTTTTTCCGGGACATAGCTCTGACAAGCTATCAGAGATATGAACAAGAAACGTTTAAGGTAGATGAGCAGTGAAAATTAAACGTGACTTTGCCTTGCATAAATTTGTAGTAACTGCCCTTTGTTCATTTAGTTTCACATTGAACTTTGTCAGGAATATTACTGTGAAACTACAAGAGGTATCAACAAGAGACTAAGTCAGAAGATAGATTTCATTGAGTAGAGGAAGTACAGTGCAAAGAACAGTAACTCTGCCTTGCCTAATTTTGGAATCATTGCCAGGTTCAACCGGTTCTTGCTTACATTTTTGATCCATATTTAGATCAGAATGCTAGGGCAATTTGGATATTTCATGCATGTTTTTTTAAAAAAAAAAAATAATTTGGATCTGAAACGTTTCTGAAAAGAGTATATTTGTAAAGTATGCTCAGAAATAAACAGCACGACAAACAGAGACACGGCAGAGAGTAAGGGTTGATTTAGAAAGGTTTCACTGTATACATCTATTGTATGTTTTATACCCCAATTCGTTGAAAGAATCGTTTTGATGTTGTAGTTTCGGATTGAGTTCAATTTTAAAGTATTTGTTCCTCTTTGGTATTTTCTTTATATCAAATTACATAAATTGTTTCACAGAATTGAGCTGTGGTCTAAATATAGCAGTTTCAATTTCTGTTCCACGTAAATATGTTTTAAGTTTGTGTTTTTCTTTGGTTAATTTTTTTTTCATATATCAAATTACATAAAATTATTCAGGGAATTGAAGTGGGGTCTAAAAACTTTCTGTAGTTTCAATTTGTGTTCAACGTTATTGGTCAGCAGACCTCTCCACAATTTTTCCATGATTG